GGACTTGGGTGATGATGCGAGGCGGAACGCCACAGGCTGGAAACAGAGCAAGGAAAAGTCTCCGCCGTCATCAGTGAAGCGATCACGTGGGTGAATTGGGGGGCGGATCACCCGGAGCCCTGCTAGGATGGGACAGGCACGCGCAATGTTTTGCTCTCTCTGGGGGAAGGCCCAGGGTCAGGGGCTCGCAACCTCTGGGGAGCGTCAAGGGAGGGGAGGGGAGGGGAGGGGAGGGGAGGGGAGGAGAGGAGAGGCGGCTCTCAGGGTTGAAGGCCCTTATGGCGAGGTTCGATGCCTCGGAGAGCTTTCCCGGCCAGGGTCGCGCCTGGCTGTAGCCCGAGCGGGGGGAGTGTGTCTGGACTGTGCGGGCGAGGCCGAGGGCCCATCTTTACCAATGCCGATCCTGCGCCGACTTCAAGGTGGCGGTCGCCATTGCTCACCGGGCGGAAGCTTGGTGGACTTGGGTGATGATGCGAGGCGGAACGCCACAGGCTGGAAACAGAGCAAGGAAAAGTCTCCGCCGTCATCAGTGAAGCGATCACGTGGGTGAATTGGGGGGCGGATCACCCGGAGCCCTGCTAGGATGGGACAGGCACGCGCAATGTTTTGCTCTCTCTGGGGGAAGGCTCTGGGGGAAGGCCAGGGTCAGTCTGGGGAGCGTCAAGGGAGGGGAGGGGAGGGGAGGGGAGGGGAGGGGAGGGGAGGAGAGGCGGCTCTCAGGGTTGAAGGCCCTTATGGCGAGGTTCGATGCCTCGGAGAGCTTTCCCGGCCAGGGTCGCGCCTGGCTGTAGCCCGAGCGGGGGGAGTGTGTCTGGACTGTGCGGGCGAGGCCGAGGGCCCATCTTTACCAATGCCGATCCTGCGCCGACTTCAAGGTGGCGGTCGCCATTGCTCACCGGGCGGAAGCTTGGTGGACTTGGGTGATGATGCGAGGCGGAACGCCACAGGCTGGAAACAGAGCAAGGAAAAGTCTCCGCCGTCATCAGTGAAGCGATCACGTGGGTGAATTGGGGGGCGG